GGCAGCCACAGCGGCGTGCCAAGTTGTGTGGCTGCGCCGGCTGCTGGGCGAGCTAACCAGTGCGGAAGCTCACCCACCAGCACTGATGGTGGACAACTAGCCCGAAATCGCCCTCGCGAAGAATCCGGTTCTGCACGACCGGAGTAAACACATCGACGTGAAGTTCCACTTCCTCAGGGACTGTGTCGATGAAGGGCAGATCGTCATCGAGTTCGTCGAAACTGGTCGGCAACTCGCGGACGTCATCACCAAGCCGCTCGGACATCCTCCACTCACGGAGCTGAAGGAGATGATCGGCATGGAGGGGGTACAAGGGTTAGCAGTAGGATTAGGGGAAGAATTGTTAGATAATCTGCTGCTACCTTGTGTGAACACACAGCAGGGGAAGACGGTGCCGAAAAGGCTCCCTACTGTGATACTGTAGCCGCTGCAGGTGCAAGCATCGAACGACTCACCTGCAGCACTGTAGCCACATGCAGAGGCCGGTGCAGAGTCAGCCCTGCTGTGTTATCTAGTCACTGTTGCAGCATGGCAGCTGTACTAGAACTAGATGGATAGAGTTGTATAAATAGACTGCCACGGCAACTCAGTGAAGATAGTTCAGATTTGTCATCTCTCATACAGGGCCCCGGCCAACGCTGGTGTCTTGTACTGTGTGTGTATGCTCTGTTCTTCCTTTTCTTCAACCTCTAGCCATAGTGCATGGGGACGGACAATACTTGTTCGTGGTCGGCATGGCTGGTGGGTGCTCGATAAGACTGGTAAGTGATCGACTCACCTGAGCCGGTGATCCCCCCATGACCTCTGGCAGATCACCAAGGCGCCTGTGCAGAAGGCCGCGAATGCAGTCAAAGAACGGTGGCAAGCACCAAATGAGTGGTGGATCAAATGCAACGTTGATGGGGCGTTTTATTTAGAGAGCGGACAGGGAGCGACTGGTGCTGTTCTTCGAAATGATGCCGGTAGCTTTGAAGCTGGAAGAGCGAAGTGGTACTCACACTGCCTAGAGTGACCCTTTGTCAAAGGAGGCTCTAGCTTGCAGGGATGGTGTGGCACTTGCTGCGGATTTGGGCGTCCAAAAACTGAAGATTGAAACAGATAGCCAGGAGCTAGTGAATTTATGGAAGATGGGAGATAACCAAAGATCGTGCATTGCGCCAATCATCAGAGATCGTAGTGCTGTTTTTCTTGCTTTCTCTTTGGTGTATGCCAATAGATCCTGTAACCACGTAGCTCATGTGTGTTGGCTAAGCAGGTCTCAGATAGCACTAGGGTGGGTGAGTGGCAATCAGCCCCGCCCTGTGTTCTCCATCCGTTGACCAAAGATTAAATACTATACTTCGGGTCAGTCTTTGCTACCGGTAACGATTTTAGGTGCAGTCACCAAAGGCCCATGCTAGTTGCTGGCTTCTAACATCAGAACAAACCAGGCCCATCCCGGCCCAGTCTAGAAATTATTTTGGCCTAATAAATACGTATCTTAACATTTGCCTTGTTTTTCTTTTTTGTTGCTTTGCGAAAAAACATTTGGCGTGTTTCCTTTCATCAGGAAGGAAATAAATACACAGTGCAGTCTAGAAAGTATCCACTACATATGCTCTTAGCTCATCTGCTTATGTTTGTGCTACTGTACCACCAAAGTTGCTGAGGCCTAGGGCTTTAGGACTTGGAACTCCAGAACCGGTGTTCTTATGAAATTTATCATCCTATTTGCTGGTAGAGTTAAGTACTCCAGATCCAACAAAAACAGCTTCAGATCTGATTTTTTTTACCTAAACATCTTGGCTCCACAGATTCAGGTCTACAAAACATCTTGGAATCCATAAGTTTTTTAGCACCCCCAGCCACACCGCGCGGGCCCCAGCGGGTGGCCACCTTGGCCCCTGGCAGACTGTCCCACCCGCACCGTGCTTGCCTTGGTTGGCCGCGTTAGCACAGCCCTGGCCGCGCCGGCCCCACCCAATCCCAATGAGCCAACGAGGCCACTGCGCATGTGCTCTAGATGCTCTGCTTGGAAGAGGATGAAGAGCCTGACGTGCGGGCCCAAGGTGTTAGTGAGACAAAGGGGAAAAGGAGCGCCCGCAAATAGGTTGTTGTTGGGCCATATTTGGTTGATTGTTGGGCCGACCCATCAGCTATGGAGCTGTTCCAAACAGTTTTTGGACTCCGGATTCACGGTGGAGCTGCTCCAAAGTGGATCTGATGCTCCAGATTTGATTTTTCAAAGTTGGTGCTCTCCCAAACAATCCCTTAGCTTCTCTCGAGTGATTCGGCTCCTTGGAAAGAATGGTTGCTTAGGAACTGTTCCCTCGTGGATGGATCTGTTCTCAACTCCTCTTCTTACATCTGGAATATATCGTTAACGATTGCGTTAGCAAGGTGGTGACCATTGTAAACGATTTCTCACCTTAATGAAAAACGCGTCAACGGAAGTGTTCACGAAAAAGAACATCATTAACGATGAACCCTTAACCATGATCTGTGTTGTTGGCGTGTTCACCACCAGATTTGTAACTCGATCTAGAATCCCCCATTCGCGTAGGTAAAAATCCGCCCCAGCAGAAAGTTTTTACTTCAAAAAAGATTGATAAGCACAAATCATGTCTTCCATAAATAGTTCTGTATTTTTTTTATGGCGTCAATCGAGAGTATTTGATGCACTCCTATTTGTGAGTAGTTCGATTATATACATATCTAGAATATGGTCCTGTCACGTGATCATGCTAGTTTGTCCATTTGCCTTCATGTTTTATTTATTTGTACATCAAATTAAATCCAAAAGTGCTAATGTATCAACAATGTCGACTTTGATGCTTTGCCAAATGTCACTATTACAAGATGCTACTCACTAATTGTTACTTAAAAAAATACCAATCTGTAGTAGCACAGATTATGTCAGCAAAACTACATGCATGTGGAGAGAGTAGAAAACTATGTCATTAACATACGTGGTATGGAGGACAAGTGCATGTGGCGTTCATGTGGAGGGGAGGAAACAGCAAGAGCCAGTGGAAGCTAGAAACCTGCCCTAGGCCTAGCTTACTTCTTATGGTGGTGGGGCCGACGACAATGAGAACACCCAGAGTGGGGAATAATTGGGGTAGTTGCTCATGGTCTCAGGACTAATTCATAATGAGCAGAGAATAAACCAGGCAGTGTTTGTTGATTTTCAGCAGGGACTTTCAGGAGGAGAGGAGCCTCCAAGTTGGCACCTCTTTATCCTTTATTTGTGCTTCCGTTAGTTGCATCTGGTGAATCTAAACTTTGTTAAGCTTATTACAGTGATCTTAATTCATTGTTTTGTTCTAGATTTATGCTTAAACAATGCTTTCGCATACACTTTGTTCTTGTTCATCCTAGTGCTAGCAACTGCATGCCACCCTAAATCTGGCAAATTAAAGAAGAACCAAACGGAAAGAAAACAGTAGGTCGAGTTCTTTCTGTTGTACTGTACTTCTTCCTCATTGTGCAATCATAACACAACGGACAACCCAATCAGTGCTCTAATCCATCCAATCACTCCAGTTAACCTGAGCGGCCCTAGCTGTATGGTAGTGCAGCAGCTGGGCTGGCTACATCTATATACAAAACTGAACTGCCCTAACTCCGCTGACGTGGAGGAATGCTTGCGCATCAAATGCAACTGCTAGAAATGAGAAATCCAAGCCGGCAGCAACAACTTTAGAGGCGGCCAATAAACGAGAGAGCCCCCATGATAAAATTATGTGGTGCGGCAGCGGCAGGCACTTGGCACGAATGGTAGGGCCCAGTGTTAATCTGGGGATCAATGCTAAATTGCTAATGCATGGGGCACTAGCAAACAAGCTGGTCCCTCTCTGATCGATTCCGATCAACTGTTATCAAGATTATCGGACTGGTAGAAGCTGGAGCAGTTGGGAGCATCAGGCCATAATCCGGGGTTCATGCCTGCCTATATAGAACCGTCAAAAGTGGCGCAGCGGTTAGTTCGGGGAAGGATTAGTAGTATATGATATTCAACTCATCTTGCTTGTTGGTCATCAGCTAGCTACACGACATGTAGGAGGATCCAAAACGATCAGTTGGGTGGATGATTGAGAAGAGAGTAGGGAGCGACCACTGACCATGTTCAATGTTGCTCATCAGTCTTCAGTTGAGATACTGCCAGAGCAAACAGCAGGATGAAATAAGTTTGTGGTGGACAGTGACAGGAATTGATGTACCTAGCTGGTGTTGCCTTGAGAGGGAGGTTAAGAAAAAGAAAAGAAAAGAAAAGAAAAGAAAAGAAAAGAAAAGAAGTTGAGACAGCCAAAAGGAGGAGAAAAGTGCAGGGGAAAAGAACAATCCCTTGCCTGGTGGTCCATGACGATAAAACACACTTCTGTATTCTAATAAGATTCTTGCTGAAGCTTTGTGCGGCAACAACAGTAAAAGATGCAGGCAATATGATGACCGCGGCCGGCTTATGTTATACCCACTTGGATTATGTCCTAAAAGCTAGCGGGCGACCTCTGCAAATTTGGAATTCAAATTAGACAGGCCGTGGGCCTGTCAAATTAGACTGACTGCAGCTGCAACTTACTCAACCCAGACCTCGTCTGAAACTACAAGTCAAGGAGGGAGCTCTAGAGGAAATTTACTGTAGAATTGGGAATTGGACAAGATGAAAATTGGTTCACGAGCACACAGTATGAGACGCGGTCGCTGCATTGTCATCATATGAGTGGGTGCAGTTGGAGGCCTTAGGTGAGGTGCGACTTGTTGGTTATTAGAGAGGCTAGACTTCTGGTTAGAGAGAGAGTCAACTAACGCTCCATGAGCCTAATTCCAAGGCGTACGTAATAATCGACAGCAACACTGGCAAATAGATGCGCTCCGATCCTTCGTTCCTCGTGTATATAAACCGAGCTAGCGTTCTTCAGGTTGCCGTTGCGTTGTGCGTGCCAGGGAGAGAGAGAGAGACAGATAGAGAGCACCTCCTCCCCGTTCCCCCGGCCAGCTGCATCAGCATCATCCTGCTGATGGAGGTGGAGTCGGTCAAGTGCGAGTGCTGCGGCCTGCGCGAGGACTGCACCGGGGAGTACATCGCCGCCGTCAAGGCGGGCTTCGGCGGCCGCTGGCTCTGCGGCCTCTGCTCCGAGGCGGTGCGCGACGAGGTGGCCGCCAAGAAGCGGGGCGACCTGGAGGGCGCACTCAGGGACCACATGTCCTTCTGCGCCAAGTTCGGCAAGAAGGGACCCGCGTTCCGCGTCGCCGACGGCATGCGCCAGATGCTGCGCAGGCGGTCCAGCGACATCTCCACCGCCGCCGCCGCCGCCGCCGCCGCCTCCTCCGCCGCCGCCTCATGAGTCATGATGATGATGACATAGAGGAGGAGCGAGGAAGCTGATTAAAGCCATTGGACGATCGATATCTGCAGCAATGGCAAGGCAAAGCTGCATTCATGCGTGCGCCGGTGATCCTTGACAATCCTAGGATCGGTTGCGTAGTTTAATCTTGCATTGTCACTGTACTAGCTAGTTGCCGGTCAGTGCCATTCACACTGCTTGGTTCACCACTTCTACCGACAGGACGGACGTAGAGGTGTGCCAGCCAAGTGAAGCCTTACTTCTTAGGCCTAGAAGAAGGCGGCTTCGTTCCATCTTGAGCTAGCGTACGTTCAAGTTTTGGTACAACTTGAACCGCAATTGCAATGTATCATTAATCCCTTCGTCATATCATGAATTGAATTTATTTTTTTCTCTGCATTATATATTGCTGTTCACGCATTGGTTGCATCTTCTGGCCCTTCATCATCAGAATGGAGAATCTCTCATTTCAGAAGAGTACTAAACCCCCAAAAAAGAACCAATGACATTATCCCTATCACTGTTCTTCATTTCTGAATTTCTATGTGCATGTGCACAAGGAATCAAGGATGAGATGCACACACACACACAAAAAAGAGTTTCCAATCGACTTTCAGACCACAAACTTCAGTCAGTTAGAGCTTTTCAAGCTGCAGTCTTGTGTTGTGAGCTGCTCTCTCGCAAGGACAAATGGATCCACCTCCGGAGGAGATTAATGTATTGACAGACAGAAAAATGTCTTTAAAAGAACAGAAAGACGTCATGTACACTTCAGATTTGGATCAACTGTTGTAGATTCTTACTACTAGCATGGAGTACTACGTCCTGTCCTGTCTAGCATCAACAGTCCCGGTTGTGCTGATCATAATTGAGTTTCCGCTGGGAATGCAAGGCCCAACGGCAATCATGAAAATGAAGATGCTCGCTCCAAATCAGCAAAAGAAATTGTGGCAAGGGAGAGAGATGCTGACTAGGACACGATCAGGTGTGCAATAACCTGGCACCGTACCAGTTAAGGCATATAACCCACGAGAAGGCGGCGTGCTTAATCATTGCCTTCCTGTGGAACAACTGGATAATGTATCGCTCAGCTTGCTTTAATTTGTGCAAGATTCTCCCCTCGATCATATGCGAGAGGCACTAGGGCAATGGAGCCAAGAGGCTGACTCATTTCGACGTATGGACATGTATTTATTTATATATCTATATATATTAAGGTCCTGCATTGCATCGTCTCATATGCTAATTTCTGACGACCCATAACTGTAGAATGCATGGTTGACATAGATCGTACGTAATTTATTCGTCAAGAAAGACACCTGTGAATGCTTTGTTGGATGCAATGATGAAGGCTCGCTCATCCTGGTACTGACATACATGGTACCAAAATTATTCCAGATCCATATGGAACAGTGGTCAGTACTCGGTACCACAGCAGTAACTCACCCATTGCATACTTGTTTGCGCCTGCGTTGCTCTTGCGTGGCCGTATGCAGGCTGTAAAAATCCTTCAAACTCCTTTGGAAAGCCTGCAATGTAAGGATCTCACATGTTAGCACAACGAAGCCATGCATTACATGACACCCGCGTGTTGTGACTTGTGACCCCACTCCTGCACGTCCTTCAATTTCATGTAACCATGCTGCCAAATAGTGACACACACGAGCTGAGTTTTGACAGCAGCGATCAATGGGGTTAGCACACACGAGCTGAGCCAAGCTACGAGGGAACGACACCACAACCAAACGCGTTATCGCAATAGTGACTGCTACAATCTTTAGTTACACATCGGCAACATACGTTTAACCTTTTGACGTTAAGTAAAATAGCATGGTCAAGGAATACATCACTCGATTTTAGTATGTGATGATGTGATTGACCATCCATCCACAACAGAAATCACCGCCTCACGAGTCTTTCTTCAGAAACGCAGAGACAAAACTCAGCCAGACAAACTAACAATCAAAATAAACCTCAACGGGACTGACCTGAGATAGCGAGCCTGAAACATGATAAGCCCAGAGGATGCTAAAACAAATTATTGGCTCTAAGCAACATAGTTTCGGGTTCTAACAATCATGAACTAGCTCACAGCATAGAACCATTATCACATTAAACTGACACAACATAATATCATCTGCTGATTACACCAGAACACAAGACAACTAAATAGTCTAGATCCAGAAGTTCTGATACTGCTGCTTCACTGCTAGTGCTAAAACTACAGGGCTACAAAAGCATATAACACCAGCAGGAGCTTGGGCATCATGTAACTACAGAACAGGTTGAACATTGCGCAACACAACCAAACCTGCATCAAGACACAAATCAAACATCAGTATCCGATGGTGGAACCAGCATTCACCAAAACAGCTGCAAAAATATAAGCAAATAGTTACCTCATCTGGGTTGCTCCAGAATCTGACTCTTAAGAATCTTTCGATGCTTCAAGAAAATCAGAACCCTCAAACTGGTTTGTGAACTTGAAGTGGGAATGAATGAGCATGCTAACTGACAAGGGCACTAGATGCAATGCAGGGGCACTAGATGAACATAAATGCATGGCGATGCAACAGATATATGGTATATGCCAGATATGCAACAAAGGGGCTGGATGGGGAAGTTAGTATTGGAACAAGAGGAAGAGAACAGAATTCTTCCATCTTCCACTCAGCTTCTTCCTTACCAAAAACCAGAAGAGCTGGTGAGGAGATAATGGTGTTCTTTGCAGAGCACCAGGAAGCAAGGATATCTAGAGCCAGTTGGCTAGAGAACAGAAGGAAATAAGTATGCAAGGATATGCAAGATGCAGGTACCCTACAAATATTTGACATCTGGTTTGGGGCTAGGACGAATGTTATTCTACCATATATGAACCAACTGCAGCAGAAAATGAGGCTGCTGCTATGGCAGAGTGCCATCGTCAGTTCAGAACAGGTACTATGGATGCAAATGATGCTGTTTTAAGAGGTTTAAACCCTACACCTAAGAGATGAAGGAAGCATATAGGTGAATACTATCAACTGCCCTGCACCCCATCCTCAACCCAGAGCCCACCTTCATAACACCTAACAGGGCAGTATCAACTTCAACTGTCTAAGCTTCTGAAGTAGCTTCACCTACAAGCTACACCTCCACCATGATCCTGACCATATCTTACAACCACCAAGTATCTATCATCATTACCCTATACACTACCAATGCAAGTAGAAAGCTGTCAGTGAAAGATAACCTATGTACACAAGAACCACCCATCCATCCTCCCATTATTCAATGATCAGCGATATCCAACTGGAGAATCCTCCTCAGATTTTCCGTTGCTATAGCACTAGCAATTGCATCATCATTGAAGAAGTCATACCCAGATCCCTCAACCGGGGATGAAGGTGCTGATTTAGCATGCAGTCTGACCTCCACATCAACAGAGCGCTCAACTGGTGGCAGCTCGAGAGAGATGCTGCGCTTCTGGCGGAGGGAAAATTTGGGGATGGGCAGCGAACTGGGTGGTGGTGAGTTGGAGAATGCTGGGCCCGCCCACAGCTCAGAATGGGTGGGAGGAGATGTGGAGGGGCTTATGGAAATGGGCCGGCTTCGCTTGCCACCATGGCGTGGCTGCTGCTTGGGTGTCTTGGGCTCTGGGGATGAGTAGGTGCGGGCAGGAGGAGGTGGTGGGGAAGGGAGAACACCAACGCAGCCACCAGAGTGGAATGACCGGCAGTTCATTCCACGGAAGCCGCGAGAGGTAGGCGGTGATGAAAAGTGTGGACCTGATGACTTGCTACGGGCACCAGGGTGGCGGTGATGGTGGTTGCGCTGCTCCGGGATAATCACAAGAGCCTGCATGTCCGGTAACGTTGTGGTGACAATGTCTGGGAAAGATGGTCGCTTTCCAATACACCTCAGGCTGCTGGAGGCAGCAGATCACCCACAGTCCTAATGAAAGACAGAAAAAGCAAGCAACGAGATGAGAAGCTGCACTTTTAATCACACTTTCAGCATAAGACAACCACATGTAACCAAAACAAAGAACACCCCTAATGCGCAAATGTCAGAATAAACCCGTAGAGAAATAGATGGTAATAACTGTTGCCCTCTTGGCCTCTCCTAGAATTACACACGTAGGAAGTATTGCTGATACCCTACTGTGATTCAGTTGTAACGAAAAGCAAACAGAGTAGACAAGGAGATCCAAGGTGCATTTGTATACAGAAGAATCATTAGCATGAACTAGCCCAAACAACAAAAATGGATACTGTTAATATAATATCAACATAAGTCTATAAAGAAAACAGATGGTTTATTGTTGTACAACTTTCATTTATTAATTAATCTGCAGTAGGGGCTTTCACCCCTCCTGTTTCTTTCCCGAAAAAAAAAACAGATGGTGCAAAGGGACCCTTTTCTGACATTACACCCTTGAGAGAAATCACTGAAACCACACTGCAGTTCAGAGTAAGCATACAGCAGCAACGTATGAGAGTAAAGTTGCTGTTTGGATGAAAGGAACGAATAGCTAAGATGGCCTTAAAATACACTTTCGTCAGAAGGAAAGAAAAAAGAAGTTAGGGGGTGTATACCTTCCAGATCTAGAACCGAGGAGCAAACCGGCGCCACCACAGTGGACGTCGTCTCCGTCACGCGAATCCCCGACTTCCCAATGCAGATCCACCCGCGAACACACTGCACGTACGCACGCAGGGAAACCTCCGATCAGGAATCTTGCAAGAGTAACCGAAAGGGACAGCCATCGACCGCACACCTCAAGCCCAACGAACCTGTAGCTCGAAGCAGGCCGCCGGATCTGACCTTTCTCGCCGAATCTCGCAACTTCCGGAGCGCGAAAAACCCGCGAGGAAACACCTTCGTGGCCAGGAGGAGGCGGCGGCGCATCGAACCACGGGGCCCAAAGCCGGATCCCGGCACAACCGCCGGCGAGAAAGTCCGCGTAAAGGTGGGCGGGGGCTTTGGGTTCGGCGAGTGAGAGGCCAAAGGGCGGAGAGGGGCGGACGAGCAAGAACCAGGGGGAGGGAGGAGTGGGGTGGGTGGGGATGGGGAAGTAGCGTAGGACGGCGTCGGACCCGAGGCGGGGGTTTCGCAGCGGCAGTTGATACAAGTCCGTTGCGTCCGGCTCGCGTGAAAATGGCGTTGGCTTTTGGATTTGTGCGTTATTCGGCCGAGACCGAGACGGACTTCTAGAGCGAGATAAACGGCCCACCTATTGGCCCTGGAATGAAAGGCCCAGCACGTTACAGCGAGATAAGGGCATGCCTTTCCGTTAAATCATCGTTTGGAAAATCATTTAAATAGAAAACATTTTCTGTATCTTTGTATACTCAAATTTATTTTTCTACTTCCTCTGTTTTAAATCATAAGATGTTTTTGCTTTTATAGATATTTTTTTTACCATGTATGTATCTACATATAGTATATATCTAAGTGTATAGCAAAAGATATATATCTAAAAAAACTAAAACATCTTATAATTTGGAATGGATGGAGTATATTTTATGCGTACTCTAAAGAGACATCCTCGCTCTATATCTTAGGTTAGCAAGAAATCCAGAATAGAAGATGTCTATATTTAGAGATTCAATTAAATAGACTGTTGGAGGGTATTTTTCACTAAAATCTCTATTTCTATAAATTAAGAAGGATATAAAATATCTCTTATAGAAGTACTCTAATCATAGATGTTTGAGTTGACCTTTTAAAGGCACCACCTAAATGTGTTAGGTCTGCATATCCGATTATCATCATCGTGTATGAATTTTCCAAACTTCGACTTTAGATCTACAGAGCTATAGAGCTATGAGTGACAACTCGAGATTTGGATTTTAGATCTACAACAAGGATTTTCAAGATATTGACTCTGTTCGCATTGCTAAAAAGCTATGGTTGAAAGTATTGTTCGCTGATTTATTATAAGAGAAAAACATTGTTCGTTTGCTGAAACAGTACGGCTCATAAGACAAGTGCACAAGGCCATTATCGGCATGTATTATTTATATATGTGCAGTGTTTAGGTCCTGGGAGGTTAGGGTTACGATTTCTATTCCAAAATAAATTTAATTTCATGTTAAAAAAAATTAGAAAAAACCAAAATTGGTATTTAAACCATGAAGAAAATCAAAGCTTCCAAAAATTTAGACAAAATCTCATAGATAAATTAGAACATGCCTACAGATTGTGTTCGACTGCACTATTTTGCAACAGTAATAGCATAGTAACATGTCAAAGTGGCTGTAGCAGCCATAGCAGCAACTGCTGCAAAAAAATGCTTCCGCCCAAAATTTTTAGATCACATAAGAAAAATTTGGAGCATCCAAAATCTATAGTTTTCCATAAAATTATTTAAATGCCAGAAGGTCTAGAAAATTTGTGAGAAGAAACTACACTGCGCCTAAACACATTTGAAAACTTCGAGCACACACAAAACACAATATGCTACTAGCATCAATACATCAAACAACATTTCTACCATATGATTTATTACTTTAATTCAAGAAATAGTGTTTTCTTGAACTAGAAGTCAAAGATTCGACTAAAGGTTGGCAAGATTTTAAAAAGGGAAAGGCTAGCGCCCTCCGGCCCTAGGCCCGCGTCTAGACGCTGCTCCCCGCGCCCCGTGCCTGCTTTGTTCGGCACGCCCCACTCGCTCGAATTCTGCGCCGCTCGAACGACTCGCCCCACCCACGTCGCCCGTCCTCACACTGGCCCACGTCACCCGAACACCACCAGCATCGAGAAGAGGGGGAGGCACCGAGGCGAGGCAGCAGAAGGTGAGGAGGGAGATGCAATACCCGATGTACTTTTGAAACATCCAAATGAAACATTTGCAACATACGTTCAAAAATAGTCGAAACACTTGCAACATACATTTGAAACACTTGTAAAAAACACTTGAAAACGTTTGAAAAGCCAATGCAAAATATATGCAACATCTAGATAAAATATATGAAACGTATGTGTCAAACACATACAACATTTAGATAAACACACTTGCAACATACGTCTGAAAAAACAACTGAAACATTAGGAACAAAAGCTTTTAACATACGTGTTGCAACATATAGAACATCCCAATCTACTTTTGCAACATCCACATAAACACACATGCAACATCCAGATAAAACATCTAAAACACTTAAAACATACTCTTGCAATATATGTTTCCAGCGCACAAATGTCATGTTGCTGCTTGGACGAATCACTGAGCTCGATGCCGCCGCGGCGCATGGAGCTCGCCGGTGCGCCCCTGGGTGAGGGCCTGCTTGGCGGCCTAGGTGAGCACCTGCGCAAGCACCCCTGGGCAAGCACCTGCTCCGCGGCCTAGGCCAGCTCGACGCCGCCACACCACATGGAGCTCGTCGGTGCGCCCCTAGGCGAGGACCTGCTCGGGGGCCTAGGTGAGCAACCGCGCGAGGCGCACGAGCACCCCTAGGTGAGCACTTGCTCCGTGGCTTGGGCCAGCGCACCCTAGGTGCGGTGGGGGACGGAGGCGACGTAGGGGATGGCGGCAGCAACGCGCCAGAGTGGCCTGGTAGGGTCGGCGGCAGAGTGCGGTGCATCGGAGGTGGTCGCGCGCCGCGCCTCGCTGGGCCAGTGGCCAAGTGCTGGAGGTGACAGACGAGCGGATAGGAGCAAGTGAGCGGGTAGGAACAAGTACATGGACAAGCTGATTTTTTTTATTTAGAAACGGAGTAGCGGGGGTCTTGGGCTGGCGTCGCGCGGCTCACCGACGGAGCGTCTGGCCGCCCGAATGGCCGCTTCCTAGCATTAGCATTTTAAAAAGCTATGATAATTTTTGCTTCATGCTTTTTATTCACATCCCAAAATCCAGATCTTATGGTGCAACACTAAGACAGGGACAACCATCATGCGGCATCTAGCGAGTGTTGACAGTCACTAACACCTGTTTTGATCATCAATATTCCACCCAAAAGCATGATAAAGTGAGGTATATCATCATCATAAATGTTACATTTTGTTTATAATTCATCTAGTTCCACTTGTGCTTGTAGAATTATTTGTATGCGGGAAAATATGGCAAAAATATGCAAAATGGTGACAAAAATGGACAAGGGGAGCAAGTGGACGTGGTAGTGGGACCAGGGGCCGACATGCCATGCTGGTCGGCCCCATAAGGGCGCCACCCGGTGCCAGCTTGGCCCCTGCTACGTCACTGATCCGTGGAAGCTGCTCTAGAAGCATTCTCAAGCGTCCATTCAAGTCGGTTTGCACCGATGGACGAGATGAAGTGGTCGTGGATCCACCGGCCCACCGTCATACACTTGGGAGCCTCCAACCGACCTTGGAACCGCCTTACCGGCTAAAACTTGGCATGTGCTGGCTTCACAACCGCCATTGAGGAGCAACCAAGGCGCTGCATCTAAGGGCCGCCCAGTGCCCCTATGATGTCGCCCGGCACCGTAAGGCACCCAACCGACCTCCTGCTGCCTACAAATACCCCCTTGTCACTTTACACTATAAATATGGGGTGTGGAGCTCGGTGGAGAAGTGCCCCATTTATTTCCAAGCTCTCCAAGCTTTCTAACTTATCTTAGCTTTAGACTAGTAGTCTAGTAGTGGAAGTAGAGCAAGAGCGGAGCTTCTCTCGAGTCTAGAAGAGTCTTCTAGGTCTTGTATAGCTCCTTTGTAATTCTTTTATTTAGCATTTACTTTATACAATACTTTACTTTTAGTACTTTATTTGTATTATTTCTTTGCTTTGCTTAAGTACTTGTTCATTATTGTTCATCATTAGTGAGCTTATGTGCTTATTGCTTGGCATTAGTAGCATAGGTTATCTTTTAATTAGTAGTCTTTCGTTAGTACCGGTTCCACCGTCTGGTTAGGGTACTGTGATCTCATTTCATCAAAGCTTAGATCGAAGTAGTAATTAAGCCTATAGATTAAGTGAGGTGCTTAGGTTATAAATTACCTGTGGATATGGCTAGGCCTCTGGATAGATTGTGGTAGTTGGCAAGTGGTGACAGCCTTGTCCATACTCTGTATTCCACCACGTTAGGTATAGTTATTAAATCATATGGCTCATGGCAGATCTTGTCTATTTAACTCTCCTAGTTAGTAGGCGGGCTATGCCCCGAAGTACTAGCGTATTTCTCCTAGTCATTAGTTTACCCCTTTGTTACTGAAAGATATATCGCTCGCTCTCCCACCTAGCTATCTCTAGTGTAGCTTGTTTAGTAGTTTATTTGGTAGTTTACACAACCCACCATAATCGTTCACCTACCTAGGATACACTTAGGCTTTACCTTAGCAATCCTAACTAAACATATAAATTTAGCCTTCTGCCTTTCTATGGAAAAATATAAATTTGACACTCGATACTCACCGAGCGAAGTGCTACGCGATAGTTCTGTTCGTTTGCGAAATTCCTCCACTAGTCGTTAAGAAGTATCAACATCTAGCAACGAGTGAGAGAGGCAGGGAGAGATGATATATGAATGGATGACAGACGAGAAGGGGGTGAGGAGACCTGGAGAAAGGATAACAAGGTAATTCTTCATATCGAGTTATCGAGGTAAGCTTTTTGTTTGAACCTTATGATTATTGTATGTTGAAATTATTTCAAATTCAATAAATATGGGTAAAATATGAGATTTTTTAGTTAAAAATAGGATCCACGAAAAAATGTAGCAAAGACCATCTTTCCATCTCCATTCCAATTAGGGATGTGAAAGAATCTAGCAAGTGACCTAGAGGGAGGTGAATAGGCCTTTTTCTGAAATTTAACAAACTTCGAGCAAAACTGTCAGATCGCGGAACCTCCGAGAATTTATGTGGAGGTTCCGGGCTGCGGAGCCTCCAGGCTAAAGCACGGAGCCTCCGAGATCAGACTACATATTTGATCTACTGTGGAAAATAAT